GGAGTGTAAACGACAAACAAGTAAATTAGAAACCAACGTGTATCTCGAAGCGATTCGTACGCATGGGAGTATCCGAAACAGACTCCCAGATGTTCTCACGGGGATCGAACACGTTCAACGGGAAGTATACGCTTGGGAATATCAAAAACAGAATAGTGTCTGCAATTCTTTTCAACTCGACGTCTAAATACATAAAATCACGATTCTGTAGATAGGTAAATCTGATCCTCGAAATAGAAAAATAACAAAGTAGTAGAATTTGTAAAAGATCTTTTAGAAACAAAAGGGACTCGAAGGAAAACACTCAAAAACAAATGAAGGGTGTATGGTTGTTTCGGTTGGAAATGGAAACGAGGACGAAATTAAATTTCAACCACGTACATCGTTGAATGAATTATGTATACGTAGAACTGGTAGAGATTTCGTTTATAGGTGAATCGGTATCTTCGGTGGACATGTCGCCGATCCTGATTGGGCTAGGTGGCACGGCGACCGGTTTGGGGCTAATCGTGACTGGAGTGCTGATGGCGCTTTGGCGAAAACACGCCGCCACTCCAGCGAAACCAAAACCACCCCAACAACCTAGCATCGCGACATTCGCTGGCAAAGGTGAAGAGGAAGACGGGAATCCTGATCTTATACCCACCACAGCCTTGACCAATCATTTCACAGGTAACACACGGTACTTTGAACCCCTTGCGACCCGACATGCCTAATCCAATCGTTATCGACCCAGTCAAACCAGACCCTTCGACTTGGTATATGTTCTCAACACACACCCTGTACGTGGTATCCTGTTTGCGATATCACACAATTTTTCCGAAAAATCGATTATACGACTGACATTAAGCTCCCCGTGAAACTTTCAGATAGAAAGCTTCTACATTACGGGTCCCTGCCACGAAGGCCGCGTCAATTGGAAGGACGAGAGATGTCTTACGACGTCGTAGAAGATTCAGATTATCCACGAGCATCGCCAAACGTTAGTAATCGAATTTCATACAGTGGCTAGCGATGATAGTCCGTTTCCACGCCAAATAGATAGATCATTTTCTATCACTCGAAATTCATTTGAAATCAATAAAACGATAACTTAAACTCTCCCTAATTTCACGTCGACTGTAACATATTTTAATTTCATTCAAATCCCTCGTCTCGAGTACGGAAAGTGATCGATTTGGCATGGAATGACCCAGCGATAAACCGGAATAGCCGGGAAATCACCTCGTAAAGTAGCGTTACGCCGCTGCTTCTGCCATTTTATTACCAAGGGATTGCGTGACGCATAAATCTTGGCATAAATTTAACAACTGTTTCGATAGAAACTATAATTTCGAGCGATCGAAAGATGAATATTCTGACGCGGCTCTACAGGTTGCAATGAATACGAGAAATATCAAACTTCGAGTTACAGCTTTGGACTATTGTAAACGACCAAATGAATATATTACAAGGTAACAAAATCCTCCATTTTTTGCAGACGTTTTACAGTCTCCAGAGGCCACAACGATATTCAGAGACGGTAATCAGAAGCGCGGCGATCCAGGAAAGTTGCATTTAAGAAAGAAACAACGACAAAGAAACAAATAATCCCGAGCCACGGTGATCAAGGAAAAGGAAACGTATCCTTCAATGGGCACAGCCGCGAAGCAACGAAATGCTTCGCGGATCGCGCAAGAAACGAAAATCAAAAAAGACTAAAGCCACCATGCTTATGCCATCTTGTACACGTTTAAGCGTACGAACACATTTATTAGCCACACGACGACAGCATGTCTTTGTAAATATTGTATATAAATAAAACATCGTTTTCGTGTTAAAACGTGTCTCAATTATTATCTAATTCCATTAAAATTCTACTTTCAATTAATCCCTTTCTCGAATTAAATAATTTTTTGGAAGAAAAATTTAACCGACTTCCAAAAAGGTGCAGTGAAAAGTATAAAATAATTTCTAGTCAATTTATATGAATACGCACTAGCTCTAGATATAATTGCTTAAAACTATGGGACAATGCAGTGAAAAGTATGAAATAATTGCATTATCGACCGAGCAATCTACGTTACCGACCGAGCAATCTACGTTACCGACCAAGCGACCTACATTACCGACCGAGCAATCTACATTACCGACCGAGCAATCTACATTACCGACCGAGCAACCAGCATTACCGACCGAGTAATCTACATTACCGACCGTTCAGATTACATTACCGACCGAGCAATCT